AAAAAAGATTTAGTCTGAAACCCAAAGAGGCAGTTCTCTGATAGCAGTGAGTTTGGTTTTAATTCCATTTTTGCTAATTTTCCCCGATTGGAATAGGTACGTATTGTGTGTGCGCGCACGCGCGCGCCGCGGGGACCCAAGAAGAAAAATAGAACTCATTGATACGTCACCAAGGAGACTTGGTGACGTAGTGGGTGACACAAAGTTGGAACATGTCCCTGTAAATAGTATTTGGGAAACCCAGCGGGGCAGTTCTTTGCTGCGTAGGTCGCTGGGAGTCCGAATCAAGCAAATGGTAGTTGGCTGGTAAGTGTAATTCTGCCACTCAAGGTCAACCGCTCTCCCGGGCTTACACAGTTCATCAATTTCGGCTTTCGTTGTTTACGTAGCACCGAGACAATAGCATTTGCTTGTCTAAAACAAGCCCCGCCCCCTGACGTAATCGCTTCCAAACCACGCCGGGTTTGCCGCGTGCACTCCACGGTGGGGGGAGGAGCTGGCGGGGCCCTTCGGAAAGCGGAAGTGACGAAGGACGCACGCGCAGTGACGAAGCGGAAGTTGCCGTATGTTACGGACCGGACGGCACGCCGCGCTCGCTTTCGGGGGTGGCAGCGGCGGCAGCATGTTTGAGGAGCTGGGGTTAGTCCCGACCATAGGCGATGATGAGGAGGTGCCTCTGGAGCCGGAGTCCGACTCCGGGGACGACGAGGAGGAGGAGGTACGAGCTGCCCAGAGGCGGGAGCAGGGTCCCCGTGCTGGCCCCTGGAGTGTCCTTGGCTCCTTCCCCGCCCCGAGATTCCCCAGGTGCTTCCTGCCGGCCCGGAGGTGTCCTGAGAAGGAAAGGTCCGGCCAGGACCCCAAGTCCTTCCTCGGCTAGCTCGTCACGAGCATTCCCGCCGCTCCGCGCCGCTCCGTGTCTCCTCGGCGTACCCATCCTCCTTGTCCCGAACTGCTATGTAATCCGGCTAGAGGGACGTCAGGCCTGGTTTCTAACCCCGGGCCTTCCATTCCTTAAGTCAGTGTGCGGTGCTACCCAGCGCTGAGCGTTGGACAAGATGGGGAAGGGTGCCCTCTGAATGAAGCGTATGTTGGCATGAACGAGGAGCTTCCAGACACTAGGAATGTGGCAATTAAACAGGGATCACTGCTGTCGAGAAAAAGGGGGCCTGCCGTTCAACCTGCAACCTGACATTCCCCCTGCAGGTCTTTCACACACTCGGCTAACACCATCCCATGGGTTACCTCTGACAAGTCACCTCCGACAACACAGAACGGGTCGTCTAGCTCACCTGTCCACCTCGCTTCTCCCTCGGTTCCCTCTCAAGGATGAGAACACGATCAGAAACCTGCGTATTCTTTATTCTGACCCTCTCACCTTGAGTAGGCCATCTCATCGAATCCATGAGAGACGGCTTCATCCTGGATTGGTCCTCCTTCCGTTCCTGTGCCTGCCACACGCTTCCCTCTGCTCTGCTTTGCCTTAGAGGCCTCTAGCCAGCTCTCCAAATTGAGTGTAATAAATGACTTTATCCTGGAAGCCTTTCCTGACACTTTCATCCCCACCCCACACCCCATCACTCCTCTGTGGTACCACCCACGTACTGTGGACAATTTCTGGTTACATGTCAGTCTGTGAAGCGGCATTGTTGAATAGCGGTTAAGAGCTTGCACTCTGAAGCTGAAGTATCAGGACTTGGATCTCTCTATCACGTAGTCATCTTGGGCAAAACATGAACCTTCTTTAGCTTGCTGCCCTCTGTAGAAGAAGCCCTGGTGGTGCAGTGGAAGTGCTGAACAGAACCTGAAAGATCCATGTTCAAACCACTCCCCCGGCATTCCTTGTGAGAAAGGAGTTTGTTTCCATCCAGGCTTAGAGCCTTAGTTGAGAACACCTTGTTCATTGCCCCAACTTTCACATGCATATGAGGTGCTCAAAAATACCATGCCCTGATTGGTAGCAATTGTACGATCCTGCTTGATGTGATTGAACTATGGGATGCTATGATATCTGTATTGCCTCCCAATAAAAAGGTTTTGGAGAAAAAAACCAAACCCGTGCCTTGGATCATAACCCTTTAGTCCTCAAAGTGGCATTCTTACACTTCAACACTTTAGAGAGGGACACTGTTTCTAATGTTGCGTTTTACCTTAAGTCTGTTTTGTTAAAACTAATCTAGCCAGATCAGCTTGTCCTTTGCTGTTTGTTTGTCATTTTCTTTTTCTTCCAAGTTTATTTTACTTTTGAAAGTTTTAGGTATGTCTCTTGTAAACAGCTGGCTTTAAAAATCTACCATCTATCTTTTTCATCTGATGATTTGTGTCCATATTTATTGTTATTCCTTGACATATTTGGATTTATTTCGGCATTTTTTGAGGGGTGCTGCTTTCTATTTCACCCGGATTTTCTTTTTGAAACATCCTTTTTTCTCTAATATATTTTAAAGATAATTTGTTCTTTTTTTTTTTAACATTTTATTAGGGGCTCATACAACTGTTATCCCAATCCATACACACATCAATTGTGTAAAGCGCATTTGTACATCGTTTCTCAAAACATTTTCTCTCCATGATAATTTGTTCTTTTAGATCCTTTCCCACTCCCTATTTCCCATTGGCTTGGGATCTCAAACTTTGTTTTCTATTCTTTTACCCGGGACCTTTATTTCCTTTTTCCTCTTCCAGTGTTCTTTCATCTCAGCCCCATGTCTTGTTGGTCACCCTCCCGCTCCCTCTTCCCAGGGGCCCATTGTGCTGGGCAGAAGACAGAAAGCTTTGCAGAAGAACCGAAGTGCTGATTTCAACCCCGACTTTGTCTTCACTGAGAAGGAGGGCTTGTACGATGGCAGCTGGGCCATGGCTGATGTCTTGAGCCAGCTCAAGAAGAAGGTGAGGCAAACAGAGCCTTTGGGCTTTAACGTTGGCCAGTGATCTTCAGGGCCAAACCAGAACATCTCTGTCTTCCATTTGCTTGTATCCAGCAGATGTGGGGGATCCTGTGGAAATGTGTAGTGCAGTTTGGACAGGTGGAGACAGGTGGTCACAACTAATCCACTGCCTTGATTCAAGATTGCAGATTCTACCTAGGAACAGGTTTATGGACGTGCAGATGAGGTTCAGAAGTATTAGAAATAGCCATATGTCCTTCATTGTACAGTGCCACCAGTTCCAAAATGCCCATTCCCGTCCTTCTTGGGGAAGGGACTTTTGAGCTCACATTTACCTTAGTGATGTACCAAAGATTTCTTGATTTTTTTTTTTTTTGGTGGACATTAAAAAATCAGTGGCAACAGGCTTTTTTTAAAATCATTTTATTGGGGGCTCTTACAATTCTTATGACAATCCATACATCTGTTGTATCAGGCATATTTGTACATATGTTGCTATCATTCTTTTCTAGACAATTTCTATTGAGCCATTGGTATCAGCTCCTCTTTTTTTCCTCTCCATCCCTCCCACCCTTGTGACCCCTTGATAGATTAGAAATTATTATTATTTTCATATCTCACACCGACCACTGTCTCCCTTCCCCCATGGTTTCTGTTGTTCTTCCCCCTGGAGGGGTATGTGTAGTTGTGTGATTCGTTCCCGCCCTTTTTTTGATTTTTACTATTATCCTTTTTAAAGTTTCAACAATATGCAGAAATACCTGATTATGTTTGGATTTTGGCATCAATTAATTATAATCCATGTAGGCTCTGTCATGCTGATTGGCAAGGGCAAGTGTCTTTCCAAGTAGCATTCAGATAGAACAGGGCGTCTCTTGGTCATTAGTGTTCTGAATAGGAAGCTTCGAGAATGCAGACATTCTCATTGGTGCCTTTTAATTTTCATTGTTTTCACAAAGAGACCACTTTTTGAATGCATGTTGTCTGATTCACCTATCCCAAGACAAACAAATCATTGTTACGTTTCCTTCTGACTCCTCCTGTCTGCTCTTCCTCACGTGCCTATTTCATTTTCCTCTCAATTTTTATCTTCAGAGAGCAGCCACGACGCTAGATGAGAAGATTGAGAAAGTTCGAAAGAAGAGGAAAACGGAGGTGAGGGCGGGAGGCCGAGGCTTCTCTCTGCCACTGAGCCCCGAGTCGTCTCTCAGCAAGTTCCCCACCGTTTCTTTGGGGGCCTGGACTGGGCTGTGTAGATGGGGTGTCTCCGCGGGACAGCGGGCTCACTGCCTTGGGTTCTGGTTCTCCCGTGTTTGTAGCTGTCCTGGTTTGCTTTTGCTGCTTCCCAGGAAAAAGAAGCCAAAGCTGGGAAGTCAGAAAAGAAGGAAGCCGAGGCTGGGAAGTCGGAGGAGAAAGCCGCAGAGGGCAGCTCTGAGCCCGCGGGGCAGGGAGACTTGGGAGGGAGAGACAAGGAAGGCTCAGAAGAAGAAGAGGAATTGGAGGAATCGGAGACGGACTACTCCTCTGCTGAGGAGAGCGTCCTCACCAAAGCAGGTGAGGTGACAGTGAGAAGAACCGGAGGGAGAAGTGGAAAGGGCCCCGCTTGCTTTCCTGTCGGAATTCCTGCATTTCCATGGTTAATGTTTAAGACCCCCTCTTGGCTGTGTGGAAACCCATTGTTTAGAGCCTCTTTCGGGCCATCAGACTGGTCTCACAGGGTCCTGGCGGGGACTCAGAGGAAAGCCACTGAGCTGTGTCTAGCAGACTGGGGACCGTGTCCGTAGAAGCCTGGCCGCTAGCTGTGTTTTTCTCCATAGATATGCTCAAAGTGAAGGAGCAGAAGAAGAAGAGGAAGAAGGGACAGGTGAGTGAGGACTTGGCAGCCAGCATGCGGCTCTTGTTGGCGACCTGACGGGTGACCGGGCTGCATTCCCAGTCTCTGTGGTCGATTTTGTGGTGCAGGAAGCAGGAGGATTTTTTGAAGACGCCTCTCAGTATGACGAGAACCTGTCATTCCAGGACATGAACCTCTCCCGACCTCTGCTGAAGGTAGTGGCTTTGTGGTAGTGGTGGGATGGTGGTTGTCGCCCGCCCCCCCCCTCCCATGGGCTGCCCTGCTTTCTTCTGAAGCTCACGGCTGTCTGAGAACCCTCTCGAACAATCAATGATGACCTGTCCCTCCTCTCCAAGCCCCTCTGATGGCTCCCAGCTTGACTTGAGGGAAAAGCTACAGTGCTTCCAGGAGCCTACAAGGCCCTTCCCCTTCTGATTCCCTCTGATGGTGCCTGGTAACACCTGCTCTGCTCAGGCCCCACTGGCCTCCTTGCTGACCCTCAAGCAGGTCAGGCAGCCTTCTTCCTTAGGGCCTTTGCACGTGCTGTTCCCTCAGCCCTGAACACTCAGAGTTCACGCACCACTTAGTGTCTTGCTCAGTGTGACCTTTTCCTAATGACTCAGTGAGCAGTGTCTAGTGCGCTCCGCCCTGTGTCCCCCTGTGCTCATCACCTCCCTTGGTGACATACTTTTCTCCCAGAAAGTCCTCTCTTTGTGATGTGGGTCTTTTTGGATCCGTATACCTGATGCAGGCCGTGTTTATTTGCGGTGCATCGCCTGCATGCGTCTTAGGGAGGCTTCATTTTAGGGCTTTCTTGCTGCAGCCCAGCGCCTAGACCAGTGGTTCTCCACCTTCCTAATGCCGCAACCCTCTAATACAGTTCCTCATGTTGTGGGGACCCCCAACCATAAAATTATTTTGATTGCTACTTCACTCATTTTGCTACTGTTATGAATCAGATGACCCCTGTGAAAGGGTCGTTTGACTCCCCAAAGGGGTCGTGACCCACGGTTGAGAACTACTGGCCTAGACCTAGGCCTGGGGGATAGGAGGGATTAGGAGTGGAGGAGGAGACGGGGCTGGTGGGATCCACACCTGTTCTAGAAGCTGCCTCCTTCCCCCTGGCACTGTGTTTTCCCCAGGCCATTTCCGCCATGGGCTTCAAGCAGCCCACCCCCATCCAGAAGGCGTGTATCCCCGTGGGCCTGCTGGGGAAGGACATCTGTGCCTGTGCTGCCACTGGGACAGGTAAGAGCAAGAGGAACCCAGGGTGACAACCAAAGGCCAATTTGTTAATGTCGTCCCTTCTTTAAAAAAGGTTCACAGCAGTTTAGACTGGATTGAGTCTCAGTGACTTGTGAAGATTTGGGGTGTCACGGTTATGGGATCAACTGATCACTGGAAGGTTAACGGTTCAAGCCCATCCCAGGGCCCCACAGAAGAAAGGCCTGGCCATCTGCTCCTGGAAAGTGTTGGTCTTAGACTCTCTTCGGAGGGCGGTAGTTGGTTCCTGGAGTCAGGATCAAGGTGGCAGCAAGTAGTGTGGATTTGGGGCTCTTGCCCATTCCTGGGACCTGGAGTTGACCAGCTTCTACATTTTTTCTTCATCACAGCTCCTCCCAGACTGTTAGTTTCTGTCCCCTGTGCTTGTGCCTGGAGGGAGATGGCGGGAAGGGAGCCCACTGGTTGGGGAGAGACTGGAAAGAGCTGGCATCCAGCCTGGACTGCTTGCCCCCATTGCTGGCAGTGCTAGCCGCCATGCAGAGGAGACTGGGATGAGATCTCCTCAGCTACTGCCCGAAGCTGGGAGGACAACTGACGAGACTAATGAGTCGCCCGCTGTAAAGCTCAAAAACCAAGCTCACTGTCAGCCAGTCCATGCCCATTCAGAGTGACCCTACAGGACAGGGTAGAACTGCACCTGTGAGTTTTCGGGACTGTGACTCTTTACAGGTGTAGAAAACCTCATATTTCTCCCGCTGACCTTGCCGTTAGCAGTCCAATATGCGAAGCCACAGGGCTAGTCCTCGTAGACTAAACCATAGGTTCTCAACCTGTGGGTCGAGACCCCTTTGGGGGCTGAATGACCCTTTCACAGGGGTTGCCCGATTCATAACTACCAAAATGACAGTGGTGAAGTAGCAATGAAAATAATTTTATGGGGGGGTGGGGGTGGTCACCACAACATGAGGAACTGTATGAAAGGGTCGCCGCATCAGGAAGGTTGAGAACCACTGCTCTACACCAAACCACATGCACTGCCGTTGAATTGACGCAGACTCTTACCGAGCCTGTAGTACAGGGTAGAACTGCCCCTTTGAGTTCCCAAGACTGACTACACAGAAGTACAAAGCCCGTGTTTCTCTGGTGGAGCAGCTGGTTTTGAACTGCATAAGGTGTGTACCGCAGCTCAGTGTGTAACCACTCCACCACCAGGGCTCCTTCCCTGACTAGCGTCGTGTAATGTAACTTGTATGCCCACTGCCCTGAGACAGGCCTGCTCACTCGCCTCGCTTTACTGCAGTGGTCTGGCCCCGAACATGCAGTACTTCAGAGGTCTGCCTGTAGTGTCTTTACTTCTGGATTTGTTGCTGACTAAAGAATTCATGAACGTGCCTGGAAAATCGTCCCCTTTAGAAAGGTCCACAGTGAAAATCTCCCCATTTCCTACTCCCCACCCGCACTCCAACCAGGGCTTATGGCTATCTTCTAAACTTATTTTTTTTTTCAAATGCAAATGTAATAGGAATGCATTTCTACTCAAACGCAGAAAAGCACATAGCTGTTTCCCCATTCGTCAACTACAGGGCTACGAAAAACTCCACACTTCTGTCAGCACAGAAATGGTCTTTGTGTGTCTAGAGGCAGAGTGTGCACTGGGAGTTTGAGCTTGTTGCTTTTTCAATGAAGTTTGGGAGAATGATTGGACTTTTTCCACCCCCTTAGAGTGACAAGATTTGGAAACCCACAGGGGCAGTTCTGTCCTGTCCTGGTAGGGACACTGTGAGCCAGCCTCCACTCCAGGGCACCGGGTCAGTGAAGTTGAACTTGAGTCTGGTTTTGTTGTGGTGGCCTCTTGCTGCAGAGTTTGCTCCCACGCACGGGTGACCCAGGTGGTGACCCAGGTGGGCAGGCTCGAGGGGCTCCATTGGGTTTTCACAGGTGGGACTTTCAGAAGCAGAGGGCCAGGCAGGTCTCCTGAGACCCTTTGGGGTGGATTTGAACCTCTGACCTTGCAGCTAGTGGTCAGCATTTTCCCTGTTGGTGCCGTCTTGGGGCTCCCAACATGCCTGAGTATGCATTTTCACATGTGCCTATACTGATGACGGACAACCTTGTTAGTGTTGACAACAATATTTTTAACCACCCCAAAGTGAGACAGGATGGTAGAATCTAGGCGATGAGGAACTTCTCTCTATTGGAACAATTGTTGATTCACAGGAAGTAGCCAAACTAGCACTACGCGTCCTTCCGGGGTCTCACAAGGCTGACTGCAGTGGGGGTCAGGGTTGTGGGTTGGGGTGGAGAAGGGTCTGTGCTGTGAAGTCAGCTGTCAAGTCAAGACACCACAGGGTCCACGCCAACTCACATCGACTCCCTGCGATGGCGGGACCTGCCCCGTGGGTTTCCAAGACTGTAACTCTTTTTATTTCTTACAATTTGGGTGGAAGTATATTGGGCAGATGACTTGTTTTACATTCCGCAGGTCTCACAGGTCTCCGCAGTTTCCTCTATCTCATTCACTGTGACCCCTCTCTAGAGCCCCACGCTCCCCATCTTCTTGTGTTTCCTGTCTGCATTCTTCCTTAGCAATCCATACATCAATTGTGTCAGGCACATTTGTACATACATGCACATATGATGATGACAATACATTCACAAAGACCGTAACTCTGAGCAGGAGTTAAAAGCCACCTTTGTCTCCCCAAGTGGTGGTTTTGAACACCTGACCTTGTGGGGAACCGAGTGAAAGAGTGTGGAAGGCTGGGAAACGGGCCTGGGGCAGTCGGACTTCCTTCCGAGTTTGAGAGACAAGCTGAGCAGGAGCCCTCCCCTTCTGCTTGCCTCTACCCTGCCCTCCAGGTAAAACCGCTGCCTTCGCCCTGCCGGTTTTGGAGCGGCTGATCTACAAGCCCCGCCAGGCTGCCGTCACCCGAGTCCTGGTGCTGGTCCCCACCCGGGAGCTGGGCATCCAAGTGCACTCCGTCACCAAGCAGCTGGCCCAGTTCTGTAACATCACCACGTGTCTGGCTGTGGGTGAGTCTCCTGCCAGCGGAGGGACCCTGGCCTGGTGGAGGGTGGCAGGGTCGGGAAAGGCGCCTTATGAAGGGCAGGTTGCGGCCTGTCACAGCCCGGGAGGAGAGTGGAGAGTGGAGGCAGGGGGCTGATGGGACTTAAGTGAGATCGAGAAGGAAAAAGTAAAAATTAATTGAAAAAAAACCCAAAAGGTGGTTGGGGAGCATCATTTTTTCCGGGGTGATGCGAGGGCCTGTCCCTGACCTTCATTTTACCCTCTGTGACTGTCTCTGGCGGCCCCAAGTGTCTGAGGAGAAGTGTGCAGTACAAGCCCTGCTCTGGCAGCTGGCTGATTGCTGTACCCCCTTTAGGGGCTTGGCCAGTGCCCGGCTGTCCCCTACCTCCGGGCGGTCGTGCCATTCTGCTTGCAAGCCTTTGGTGCCCTCGTTTTCCTTTGGGTTTGCACTTGGAACAGTTGGTATGAAGTGCTGGCCCTCCCGGGATATTGTACAGCCCACACGAGCAGGGAGCCTGCTGGTCTGGCCACTACCTCGCTGAAGTGCCTGGCACAGGACCTGACCTGGCAGGTGGGCAGGAAGCTCGGGTGGAGATTGAATTGGGAGGGGGGGGGCTCTCTGTAGGTGGCCTGGACGTCAAGTCACAGGAAGCTGCTCTCCGGGCTGCACCTGACATCCTTATCGCCACGCCGGGCCGGCTTATCGACCACCTCCACAACTGCCCCTCCTTCCACCTGAGCAGCATCGAGGTGCTCATCCTGGATGAGGCTGACAGGTAGTCCTGAGGAGTGTGAGCCCGCCTGCCTGCCCGCCCGCTGGTCCCAGAGGCTGTGCCCTGGATGCTAGCCTGCCTTTTGGAAAATGCCCAGGATCTCCCAGGGGTCAGGGAAGGCTCTGGAAGTATGATTTGGCCTAAGGAGATGCACCTATTCAGGGCCACCACTGGCGCTGGTGCAACCTCTGCCCTCAGATGCTGTATTGACAAGGAGCAAGGTCCTGAGGGGCTTGGGAGAGCAGGCAGACCCAAGGGGACCAGTGGGGCAGACTGCGGTCAGGGTCAGGGATAGTGCAGCTCATGGGCAGCCCCAGGGCTGTGTCTGAGCCCTTTCACCAGGACACACAGGGTAGGGCCTGATAGTGAGGGAGCTTCCCAAATGGCAGCCTTGATGATTCCAGAGTGTCAGGGCCATGAACGACCCCCCCCCACCCCCCAAAAAAGGACCGGAGTGAGGAGACTTTTCCTTATGGGTGGACACTCGAGAATCTTGGTGGCACAGAGTTTTATTAAGCAGTCAGCTCCCAACTGAAGTGTGGGCCCCAGCTGCTCAGCAGAGAAAGGTGCCACAATCCGCTGCAGTAGATTCACAGCCTCGGAAAGCTTACGGGCCAGGTGTGCTCCATCCTCTAGGGTCTCCCTGAAGTCGGCACAGCAGTGGATTTGAATTTTTTTTTTTTTTTTTGGTTTGGAAAGAGGCATGGCAACCAAACGGAGTGCCTGAATTTAAAGGTGAAAGATTATACGCTGGCCAACATATGACCGAGCCTGATTTCAGGTGTTGCTCAAGAACTGTTAAATGTTGTGACTTTGACGCTGACATTGGCTGTGGAGGCTGTGGCTCCTGGGACATAGGTGCTGGAGTATTTCGGGGTGAGGTGCTCAGTGGAATTGCTTGTGAGTCAGTCATTCAGCGGAAGGACAGGTGGCAGAATGAAAACGCTGGTGCAATCCAAATGCATCTCCATGAGAAAGAGGTTAACTAGTGTGGACTTAGCCTATGATTCACGGCAGCCTCATCCACAACACAGTCAGGCCTCCAACCCACAGGACTTTCTCTGGCCGACATTCCCTCAGGAGATTGATTGCCTGACCTTTCTCCTTTGTCTGTCTGCATCTGGTTGCTCTGTTGAAACCTGTGGGGCATCGCAGCAGCATGCCATGGTGGCTACGCTTGGGATCCACTGGTTGGGAGAGGAACCCAAGTCTCCCACTGACCCGCCCCGCTCCCCAGTGCTGGCCATATAGCACAGGCCTGCCTGCTGCCCTGCCCCAGAGGAGTCCCCAACCAGATTTGCATTCCCTCCCTCTCAATGCTGTCAGGATGCTGGACGAGTACTTCGAGGAGCAGATGAAGGAGATCATCCGCATGTGTGCCCACCACCGCCAGACCATGCTCTTCTCGGCCACCATGACGGACGAGGTGTGTGGGGGGTGGTGGTGTGGGGGTGAGCCCAGGGGGGCCCTGCCCAGCTGCTTGCAGAGGCGAACTCTTCTTGCGCCCGGCAGGTGAAGGACCTGGCCTCTGTGTCCCTGAAGAGTCCCGTCCGCATATTCGTCAACAGCAACACTGACGTGGCGCCCTTCCTGCGGCAGGAGTTCATCCGCATCCGGCCCAATCGGGAGGGGGACCGGGAGGCCATCGTGGCAGGTGAAGCTCCAGGGCAGGTTGGGAGGGTGGGCTTCTGACCTATGCCTAGACATCCCCATCTTCCTAGCCCCTCTGCTCCCTCACCCCAGACCCTGCCACCACTGCCCCGTACTTCCTATCTCTTGGCCCCCCTCCCCATCCCTGGTTACCTCCTAGCTGCTCTCCCTGGGTGAGCCCTCCCTGCACGTATGGGGACTGGAAACGCTCTGCACGACCGCCCTGCTCAGGACCCTCCTGTTGTTCCGCTGTGCCTCGGCTAACTTCCGAGTGCCCTGGTGGTCACCCTGCCTCTGGGCTCGCTGTTTGGCCATGGCACCTTCCTGTTCTTACTGCCTCCACCCTGCAATTTGGGTTCTGAGACTGAGGCTTGCCTGCCTCCTCTGTGCCAGGAGTAGCATCGGCATCTTGCAGGGTGGTGGGCAGTGTGGCTGCCCAGGAGACTTGATGACCACTGCCTGCTTGCTCTTGCTCCCTGGCAGCTCTGTTGACGAGAACCTTCACTGACCACGTGATGCTCTTCACCCAGACCAAGAAGCAGGCCCACCGCATGCACATCCTCCTGGGGCTCCTGGGGCTGCAGGTGGGCGAGCTCCACGGGAACCTGTCCCAGACACAGCGGCTGGAGGCCCTCCGGTAAGGAGAGGCGGGGCTGGGCAGAGGGCGCCCCACCATCCGGAAGGCTGGGTTAGGGCGACCATGAACAGGTAGAGCCTTCTGTTACCCAATTTAGAAACACTGCTCTGAGCCCTATGCAGTCGGGTCTCCCATCTATTCGGGCCTCCGGCTTCCTAAGCTCATGTGGTGCTTGAACCCCAAGGGAACTGGGGGTGAGGGCGGGGGCTGGCACAACAGGAAGCTCCACCCTCAGAGATGTGGCGTGGCCAGTGTCCCGCAGACAGCCTCCTGCACAGTGAGCCTAGCCAGGCCTAGGAGAACAGGAGTCAGACTCAGCCTGCAGCTGTTTCTTGGGCATGTGTTTTGCTCTGCCCCGTGCTGTGTCTGTTCCATGAGGAAGTTATGATTTTGGTGGCCTTAAAATAGAACAGACCAGAGCCCCGGTGGCATAGTGGGTTATGCTTTGGGCTTCTAAATGCAAGGTTAGCAGTTCAAAATCACCAGCCTTTCTGCACTTGCTCTTTCCCCCAGTCTAGCTCTGTGGTTCCCAAGCGAATGTGCAAAAGCCCCTGCTCCCATATATTGGCACAGAATTGCACCCTCTCTACTTGGGCTAGTGTGAGGATGGTGTGATGCCCTGTGCCTACCCCACCCTGCCCTCTGCCGGAGTAGGGCCCTGGGTGAACCTCTGTGGGTGACTTGTTTCTAGACGCTTTAAAGATGAACAGATTGACATCCTGGTGGCCACTGATGTGGCAGCCCGTGGCCTTGACATTGATGGCGTCAAAACGGTGAGCAAGGCCCATTCTCCCCGAGCTTGGGAAAGGGGCCCCTGAGCCACCTGGCACAGCCCTGCTTCCCCTCAGTGCAGGTCTGACTGGCGGTTCCCTTGTGCCTCCCAGGTCATTAACTTCACCATGCCCAACACCACCAAGCACTATGTCCATCGCGTGGGGCGGACTGCGCGGGCTGGCCGGGCAGGGCGCTCTGTGTCCCTGGTGGGAGAGGAGGAGAGGAAGATGCTGAAGGAGATTGTGAAGGCGGCCAAGGCCCCTGTGAAGGCCCGGATACTGCCCCAAGGTGAGTGGTACCAGTCAGGCCCAGGGGGTGGGGCAGGCAGTGTCAAGGATCAACTCTGTAGACAGGGGAGGGCTTTGCAGTCATGGCCCAGGGGGATGCTAGCTCTGAGGCAGCTCCCCACTCACCTCTCTGCCACTTCTCCCCCCACCCCCCAGCTGCAAGTGATCTTTCCAGCCTTCAGGCAAAGAGCAAGGCCTTTTTGTAGCCAGGCCCCCACTGACCCCTTCCTGTGGGCGGGGCAGCAGTGGAGGGGAGGTCAGGGCTCCTTCTCTTTGCATCTTTCATTTTCTTCGACTCTGAGCTGAGTCTGACTCTCAGAGCCAACCTGCAGGACCGAGGCGGCGGCTCTGTGGCTCCCACGGCCTCAGTCTTCGCCTGCGGGGGCGGGGGAGAGCTGCACCACAGCACCGCCAGGGCAGAGGCCCACAGAGAGCGCATCTCTTTTGAAGTTTCAAAGCTAATAGGTATTCACCACAGGTGGCCCTAGGATGTCAGTCTGTTTATCCTTCAAGCACCTAGAAAACAGTCACTCCCAGTGAGACTCACCCTGAGTCCCCACTCCCACGGGGGCAGAGCGGGACAGGTCACAAGTGAGTCACCTTTGTAAAGAGCAGTTGGTAGAATAGAGGCAGCCCCGTCCCTCTGTTCCTTCTCCTCCACGCTCAGCGCCGAGCGTTCAGGCCTTTCCTCCTCCCTCATTCAGTCCGTGAACGCCGTCGTCACTGAGCACAACTGCGTCTATGGCCTGTGAGTGTCGTCCGTGTGCTGGAGCTCCAGCAGAGAACAAGCAGTCATACTTGGGGGGAGAGAGCCCTCCACACTGGTGGTGGGTGGCTGTGGTGCAGGAAGGGGTGGGATTCTCAGGAAAGCCGCTGTACAGATGCCTGGATGGTGGACCTGCGGAGCCCTGGAGCCCTGCCACAGGACAGGCACAGGGGCTCCAAAGAAACGGGACGTGGGCCAGAGAGCACTGGGCCTGCTGAGCGCCGGGGAAACGGGTCAGAATTGGGAATTTGTCCCAAGAGCGACAGGCCGGCTTTCTGTGGCATCACAGGAGTCAAGATGTTTGTCAGGAAGTACGCATCCGCCTTACTCTCCTCACCTGCTGCCCGCACGTCAGCAGCCCTGGCGGTGCTGTGGCAAGGCACTGGGCTGCCACCTGAAAGGTCAGCGGCTCACACCTACCAGCCTCGCTGTGGGAGAACGATGTGGCGGCCTTGGACAGCCTGTGGGGCAGTCCCGCAGGATCACATGGAATCAGGGTCTACCCAGTGGCAGTGCCTCTCAGCAGTCGCCCGTCGTTTTGAGTCCTCTTCATTCTCCTCTCTCCAGATGTCATCCTCAAGTTCCGGGACAAGATTGAGAAAATGGAGAAGGACGTGTACTCGGTCCTGCAGCTGGAGGCTGAGGAGAAGGAGATGCAGCATTCGGAAGCCCAGGTGAGTTGCGCCTGGGGCCATGAGCATGCCAAGCCTTTGCCACCAGGCAGTGGCTTCCAGTCAGCGGTGGGTTCGGTGGCAGGCCGTGGCCACAGCAATCTCCTCTCACTGTCTCCTAGATCAACACCGCCAAGCGGCTCCTGGAGAAGGGCAAGGAGGACCCGGGGCAAGAGCCAGAGAGGAGCTGGTTCCAGACCAAAGAGGAGAGGAAGAAGGAGAAGAGTAAGACGGGCGCGCTCTCCACAGTGTGTGTTTTGATGGTGGTGGTGGGAGCTGATGGTGCAGCAGTTATGTGCTTGCCTGTTAACCAAAAGATTGGCACTTGGAATCTATCAGCTGCTCTGAGAGAGAAGATGCAAGTTTGCTTCTGGAAAGATTTAGAAACTCTGTGGGGCAGTTTTGCTCTGTCTGACAGGGTCGCCGTGAGTCAGGATGGACAAGCCACTCACAGGTCTTTGGCTTTAATCCCCTGCTGAGGGACACTGAGAGCCCTCTGACTTCTGTACACAGTGACACCTCCACCTGTGCCTTCCACGGTTCAGCAAACACCCAGTCTTGCAAACTCCCAGCAGCTCCATGACCAGGGCACAGGCCTGTGCATTTCAAGGTTTGTTAGGTCTTGCACAGTGGCCCTCTGTAGAGGTGGTCCAGCCAGTTAAGAAGTACTCCCCTTACTCTTAGCAATAACAAAAATGAAACAAAGTGTTAAAGAAAGAAAGTGCCTTTGTTTAATGATCCCCACTGGCGTAGAGTTTGGGTCCAGCTACAGGGACCCAATAGAACAGAGGAGAACAGCCCTATAGGGTATGCTCTTTATTTTTAAAATATTCATGATTGAACATCTTGTTTTAGGTTTATTGTGCTATAGGTGAATGTTCATTTCCCATTCTGTGGTTTGCACATGAAGGGCCCCGGGGACATCGGTGTGGCTCCCATCATTGGTCTTCATGCTCCCTGCTCTGCCCAGGGCTCCCCATTTCCTTACACCCAAGGTCTCTCCCCCTTCTGCCCACTCATCTTGGCTTCTGGGCAGATGCTGTCCATCTGACCATGCATACTCCATGGTTCTAAGGAGCGCCTTTCTCTTGGGTGCCTGTGCACTTTCATTGGCCTGCCTGTTGTTTGGCTACAGGTGCTCTCTGGGCACGGCTTCAATTCCAGGTCAGAAGGGTGTCTGAGGGCCATTGCTTTCTAAGTTATTCCAGTCTCGGGCCAACCAGTCCATCTGGCCTTGTCTTTTTAACTTTTTACTGTGCGATGGCGAGGATTCATAGAGCAGGTGGTGAGAGGGACCTTGAGCAGTTCATCCGCATTCACTTCTTTTCCTCCACTGCAGTAGACCATGTGGTTCCTCTCCGGTTCGCCTTGGTCCCTAACCCCTCTGAACTTTGTCCTTGGGTAAATGCTGCCCTTTGATGTTGAGTGGGTGATGATTTGAAGGTGTATGTACCTCACTAGTGTTCACTGCTTCACCTTACAGACTGCTCGGTTGTTTGTCTGAAAGTTCAGCCCGAGGGTTGGTCAGTTCCAGACCTGATGGGTGTCTTAAGTACCAGGGTCTTGGGGAGTTCCTCCACTCCACTGAGCCTGGTCTCTTTGGTGGTTTTGCATTTCATTCTGTTCTTTTGCATTCTACCCAGGACCTTCTAATGGGGTCCCTTTCAGAGCAGGTGACAGTGGTAGCTGGACACCATCTCATGAAATGTTGGTGGGTTTGAACCATTGACCTTTTGGTTAGCAGATGAGGACTTTAACCACTGTGCCACCAGGGCAGCTTTACCTGATGACAAGGATATATCAATATTAAACTTCTGGGTTCAATAAATTGATTGATAACTGTATTGGTGGGAAGATGTGGAGGGGATGAAACTCAGCTGCCGTCGAGTCTGTTCCTTTAGGACATAGAAGCACCCCGTCTGGGTTCCAAGGCTGTAGATCTTTTGGAAGCCAACTGCCACATCTATGCCCCATCTTTCAAAGAGCTGCTGATGGATTCAGACCACTGACCTTCCAGTTCTAGGCAGAGCAAGTAACTCCTGCGTCACCAGGGCTCCTTGGGAGCTAAATCCTCATCCTTGAGAGCCGGAGACATAACGTCTCAAATGGTTGACTCCGGTTTTGGTCGAACAAGTGTGCAGGACAGTGGTGGCAGCAGAAGAGCGTGATTGCTGCTCGTCGTTTTCAGCCCTAGGCCCCATCTCAATTGAAGTCGCTTGCTGTCGGATGATAAGGCAGATACATTGATTCCTGAAATCCCGCATTCTCTTTTCATCCCAGTTGCCAAGGCTCTGCAGGAGTTTGACTTGGCCTTAAGAGGAAAGAAGAAAAGGAAGAAGTTCATGAAGGATGCTAAGAAAAAGGGGGAGATGACGGTGAGCAACCTCCTCCCCTTTGGCATCTGGTCCCTGCATGGCTGGGGGTCGCAATGGGAGGGGGTGCGCAGGGCTCCTCATATTCCATGTTCACCCCTCCCGTTTCCCCAGGCTGAGGAAAGGTCCCAGTTTGAAATCCTGAAGGCACAGATGTTTGCTGAGCGGCTAGCCAAAAGGAACCGCAGGACCAAGAGGGCCCGAGCAATGCCTGAGGAAGAGCCAGCCCGAGGCCCTGGTAGGCGGGTCGGGAGCCTGGGAGAGTTTTAGGGACACTTCTCACAGGCCGGAGCTTGTGATCGGGGAGAGAGCGTGAGGGCTGATGAGAATTCTCCACTTTTTTTTTTTGGTTTGAGATGAACTTGTTACTAAAGACTCCCAAGTCCATTTTATTTTTCCTTTGTTTTTTTAAAGCCACTCAGACCACTATTTAGGTCAGAGGTAAAGAACCTGGAGGGGTGGTTTGATGTTCTCGACCTACAGTTTTTGAGTGATCATGTCCCAGTGTATACAGCTGTCCTCTTGTTGGCGCTAATGAAAGTGGCACCTGGGGTAGTGGACAGAACTCAGGTTTAAACCCAGGTCTTTTTGACTCTAGGGCCCAAGTACTTAACTGCTGCTGCCTGAGGCAGCTTGGTAAGGGCAGAATGAAGACAAGCTTTGGGCACATTTCTGATAGAAGGGGTTCACGTCTTGTGGGAACACCTGGTTCTGGGTCCTCATCACGTTCCTGCTGGCATCTGACAGCTGCCCCCATGTCAGTGAATCGCCAAGTTGGAGCATCCACCGAGCTTGGAGCCATTGGCTTGACACCGTCACTTATTACCCGTTCTCTCTGTGCACAGCTAAGAAGCAGAAGCAGGCGAAGAAGTCAGTGTTTGACGAGGAGCTCACAAACACCAGCAAGAAGGCCCTGAAGCAGTATCGAGCTGGGTAGGCCTGGAGCCCCATGGAGCCCATAGGGATTTTGGTGAAAGCTAGGATTCCTTTCCACCCCCACCCCCGCCCCACCCCGTTGTCCTCTCCTTCCCAAATCCATGGGCCCTCTGTGGACCCCAGGGTGAGAATACGAAGAGGTGTGGCTCATTAGCGTATGCCCCTCCTGCCCGTGACATTTTCAGGTTCAGACGTGGAGCACGCTGAGGGCCTGATCCAACATCTCAGGGCCTATATCCTTTAGGATGTGGACAGAATCTTGGCGTGCTTCTGCTCTGGCAATGCCTGGGCTGGGGAGGGCCTGAGCACCCCAGGTCATATATTAGTTACAGGAGGAAGAGGTGGGGGTTGGGGTGGAGAAGGAAGAGCCCCCACTCCTACCATATTCCCCAGCTGGGTTGTTTTCTACCAGCCCACACGATGGGGCCTGACCTTTGCATCGCCAGCTTGCCTCAGCGTCTCATCTTCTCCCACAGGCCTTCCTTTGAAGAAAGGAAAAAGCTAGGCTTGCCTCACCAGAGGCGAGGGGGAAACTTTAAATCCAAATCCAGGTAACGGCTGTGCTTAGCAAGGGTCCGGGGTTGTGCCTGCATCGGAAGCCTTTTTCTGGGACGGGTCCAGGGGTTGGGCTTAATGCTGCCAATTTTCTTGATAGATACAAGCGGAGGAAGTAGCTATGGTAGCCTGAAGCTGTGCGTGGGACAGCCTGGAAATCCTTCCCCGTGGGAAGTCACTGTGGCCTGGCCTGCCTTTTCTCCATTTGTGAAAAAAAGACTCTGAAACATTACCAAGTCTGTGTCATTTGTGCATTAAGGAAAAAGTGGGGGGTGCTGGAATGCCACTCTTTCCTAAGCATTTCCACCTGTCAACTCATCCTTTGTAGCTGGTGAGCTGTCACAACACAGGTGCAAAGGTCTTTTTAAGTTTGGGGGAGTCAATCCTATTTTCCTTGTATTACTCTCATCTGTCCCCAGCAGCAACTCCACCCTCAGTCCACCCGGGGGCTTGTGTGAATGAGGAAGTCCTTGCTAGATGTTGGTTATGGGTGCCTAGAGACACAAGCCGCCCTTTACTGTGCATCACGCTAGGTGTCCTGGGTGTTGAGCACTGCCCCCATCCTGCTGGAGGAAGGGGCAGTTATGGCTCCACCATGCATCTACAGAGCAGCCTGCAGAATGAGTGTGCCTTCCCTGCCTTGTGCTCCCAACAGTGTGGCCATCCTTGGACACGTGATGGAAGTGCAGAGCCTCGGATGCCATAAGCTATTATCAAACAAAAGCAAGCCAATGGTGACCCCTCAACCTTTGCTGAATCACAGGTCCCTTTTGAGTGTTAGGGGAAAGCTAAGGACACCCCTTCAAAAAGCTGTAGCGCAATCCATGTAGCATTTCAGGTGTGTGTTTCACCTGCAGGAGGGAGATGGCTGGGCTTATGTCTGCACCTGCCTCAGAAAGCTCCCCAACATGGAGTAGGGAACCAGTGGAGAGGTCTGGGGGGTGGGCCCCAAGCCCAACTACTAAGTAGACACCTGCCCCTCCCCCCAGGAGAATTTAGTTCAAAGACAGAATTGAATCTGCAGCTCCGGGAGAGGGACATCTGATTGGAGCACATGGGAGCAGATGAAGGGGGAGGAGAGAGTGGAGCACATCCTGGCCCACCAGGCCTGGAGGACCATGTTCCCGATTAGAGCAGACAGTCCACAGAGGACCACATGGCCAGCCCCACTATGAGACATGATGCCTCTCACTGACCCATAGCCCTACAGGGGACAACACCAGAGTGTGGGAATTGCCCCTGATCTGATCTCGCCACACCGAGGCAAAACATTAAGAGAGTGCAACAGAACAGCAAAGGAATGGAGCGTCGAGGTCCCCAGGGAATACTGAAGGTGTACTTTGGGGCCAGGGCATGGTGCCCCAATAGACTGGACTGGAAAACGCTCCTAAAGGCCAACAAACAATCCTTGAACTACCAAAAAAAGAGTTCCCCAAGCTGGTGGCCAGCAAGCCACATACACATCTCATTATCCTTTTAAGGGCTTTGCAAATTTGCATGTACAAAATCTCTCTGGGCCAGCTCAAGAAGCTGTTAATAGGGATGAAAAATTATACCTTGCAGAGGTTGGAAAAGTTGGTGTTTGAAACTGGGTAGGACTCAACCAGCCATATATTATAAAACCTACAACAGAAAATGGCCTCATGTTAGGCCTGTCACCATGGCGTCTCCAGCCACCTATGGTGCTTTTAACAGCTGAGGACAAACACCACAGATTTTGTCATACTGTTTTTATTAATTGGCTTTATAGGCTAAAGTGCATAGTAAAGAAAAAAGGAAGTGCATACGTAGGAAAGGGAGGTTTGTTGCGCCAACATTAGAAAGGACCTGAGATGACTAAGATTCTGTTCTAGGGACGACCAGACTGAGGGAATGAATGGATACATGTGCAGAAAAGTGGCAGGCCTAGGGGACACTCCTGGTGTGGGGCAGAAGCTGCTGCAATGCTACCCCTGCCCAGGTGAAAGCTGCAGAAGAGGCTGTCGGGAGGAAGGGTCCTGTTTTGCAGAGGTGCTGCTGGTCCAGAGTGTGGGCTCTTCATTCCATCCAGGGCCGAAGGGGAACCAGCATCGCTCCTGTTCTCCCAGGGCAGGCAAAGAAGCTCCCACCCCAAGTGCAAGTCAGAGGCAAGGCTCCACCTTTGCTAGGCAAGGCTTGTGACCTTGGCCCCTCCCACCTCCTAACTTGGAGGACCCACACCTGTCCCACTCTCAGTGAACAGGTAACAGGCTCAACTGGTGCTGTCTAGAGACGTTTGCTTACGTGCCTCCAGCTCCTGGAGTCCGAGTGCCCAAGGAGGCAGGAAGGAAGGATTCTTGTGCTCCTTGAAGGGGTAAGTGTAGTTCATAGACAGCTCCTCTGGGTCTCAGCATGAGAGCTAGCTTGCAAGAAGACTCGGTCTGTTGAACTCAGCTGAAAAATGCCCAGCAGCACTGCAGAAGAAACATCTGCCCAAGTCATGACCCAAACAGCCCCTCCATGGACACCCCACACATGCTCCAGGGAGCGTGTCCACTAACTTGCAGGACGAGAAGAAAAAGGAATCTGTGAACACTGCTCAGTTCTGGAGGTAAAGTGCTTACACTAGCGCAGGGGTAAATCTAGAAACAATGTGGGCAAGCCCTACAAGAGGATCCTTAAGTAGGTATTAGGATTAAATGGACAATAATTAAAAAAAAAAAAAAAAAACTTCGGTTCCTTTATAAGAGCTAATCCCAGCCACACGGGGGCCAGGGCAGAAGGCAGCGGGAGATGGGCCATCTGCCTACATCATCCTACGGATCTCCTCAAAGTTCATCAGGTTGTTGGCAGTTTCCGACCAAGCGGCGTGTTGGGCTCCATCCATCTCAGAAGCAAGCTGGTTGGTACTTTCTAGAGTATGGTTGACCCCGCCGATGACCGCCTTACAGTCAGGACATGTGCCCCTCTGCATGGCTCCCCCACAATCGCTGATGGCGTAGATGTGGCCATTGGGGCACTTGAACCAGTGGCCACGAGGATAACCCATAGCACTGACAATCTGTACTCGCTCTTCCTCGGAGATGCCCAGACCAGAGCAGGGCAGGCTGGCTTTCAGTGCTTCCATCTTTTCCTGCACAAACTGCTCATCCTCCTGGGTGAACTTGGATGTGCTCATTAGGATTTTCTGGACACTGCTGACCTCTTCCGCAAGGCTACCTCTCACCTTTCCCTCGGCCATCTTGCAGCGAGCCAGGAGATTTACCAGGTACGTGAGCCTCTGGATTTCACTTTGGAGGTCACTCAGTTCCTGGGTGGTGAAGCTTAAACGCTTCTTTTTGAGCCACTCGTGAACCTGGTTTAGTCGGGCACGCACATTGCTCTGTTCAAAGACGTGCAGCTTCTTCAGGGAGTCCCACATGCCAGCCAGGCGGTCGTAAAAGTGGATGCAATTCTCAACAAGCCCCAGGCCCTTCACAGACAAATTTTTCTGGGCCAACTTCTTCTGCAGCATGAGGAATTCTTCTGGAAGCCATTGGTAGACGAGGCTCTTCTTCTCCAACAGGGCTTTCAGTTGTTCCTGGCTGGCTGCAATTTCCCCTGCAGAGCCCTGGATCTTTTCCTTGACAACCTCAATCTCTTCCAGCCGCTGTTTGATGCTGGTTCCATATCTCAGGTTTTTGCGGATCGGCACCTGGCAGATAGGGCAGACCTTTAACTTGACGGCAACTTCGTCATCTTTCTGCTCGTTCATGTAGTGGTCCAGGCCTTGCACCTCAAAGATGTGGTTGCAATCTTCTAGCTGTACAAAGCGGGCATCGGGCTCATCCTCAAAGCCAAAGAAGATTTGGGTCACCTCATCCTGGTGGCAGACACGGCACTTCTTAGGACACGGCTCCCCGCACAGACCAATGCAGGGGTGGCCGCAGTCCAGCAGCTTAGTACAAGGCACGTAGCATGGGGGTCGGTCACAGGGCTCGGAGCAGAGCTTGGTGCACTGGTAGTGCTGGCAGTGCCAGACGCAGGGCTCCACGCAGGGGCTGCACAGCTCGCCACACTTCTTCTTGCACTGGCTGTGGACACAGCGGTTCTGGCAGGTACGCTGGCAGGGCGGACACTCGCCGGTGCATGGCTCCTGGCACTTGTGTGAGCAGATGAGTAGGCGCTTGCAGGGCTGCTGACAGCGTTCATGGAAGCGTCCTTCAAAACAGCTGTGGCAGGAGCCAGGGCAAGGGTGCCCGCAGTCCAAGAGGGTGCTACACTTGGTGACGCAGCTGACTGGCAGACCAAACTTGATGTCGTCCACTTGACCACACTCTACTTGCTGGCGATGCCCACACTTGAGTTCGGTGGTGACCATTTCTGAACACCACTGCACGCATTTCTCCCCACATGGGTGGCTGCATCTGTGCCCACAGGCCAGAAATTTGGGGCAAGGCTCTTGACAGCAGAAATCTGACTCGGGTACAGAACAAGGAACCATTTGTTCGTGGCCACACTGGGGAATGGTTTTGGGGACCTTCACCTCACAGGGCCGACATGGCTGGAAACAAACCAAGGGGCACCGGTGCCCATCTCCACAGATGACCTTCTGGCAGGGCTTCATGCACTGGAACTCCTTGTGTGAGGCGTCATAGGGATGGCAGGCCCGGGTACAGACGTGCCCGCAACTCAGCCGGAACTCACAGGGCAGGTTGCAGCCTCCTTCAGGCACTTTCTGGAAGTCGGAAGCTTTCGATACCATAGTGTGGGTGTTAGGGTGGTTCTGGCAGCACAGCCGCAGCTCAGGGCCGATCTGATGGTTCTCTCGAAGGGTATGGATGATCTTGCTCCACAAGGGCACCTTGGCCAGCATCTGCATGTTTCCAATGCAGTACATCCCCTTCTTGGCCCGGGATAAGGCCACACAGATGCGGTTGGAGATCTGGAGAAAGCCCACCTTGCCTTCTTGGTTGCTACGCACTAGCGAGAGGAGGATGATGTCATTCTCTTCCCCTTGGTATTTGTCCACCACGTGTACCTTCACCCCAGCGAATGTCTTGGCAGGCATGAGTTTGCGCAGGCAGAAGAGCTGGCCAGTGTAGGTGGTGAGGATGGTGATTTGGGAGGGCAGGTATTCCTGGCACAGGAAGTACTTGCACAGCTCCACAACAAAATGAGCTTCATGCTGGTTCTGGTGGCTTTTGCCTTCCTGGATTTTTTGCTCAGGGAAATTGTGTTCAATAAAGAAGATGTTGGAAGAGACACCCTGAAAAGGCAAAGAAGTGACATGTTAGAAGGTTCCCTCCTGGCAGCTGGCAGTTCTTTTCTTGTTAGCTTTACAAGCATCAGCCACCTGCACATAGAAAAAGGTCTTGGTCTTGGTCCAGAGACCGACCAACCGACCGACGGGGGAATGCTTTTGGTACAGTCCACATCACAATCATTAGTTCTGAAGTTAATCAGTCACACTGTGCTTTGCTTTGGGGCCACAAATGTCCATCTTATTTTTCTAGATACTTGTGTGATAGGATATTTAATACAGCCATCCACTGTGGAGCTAAGAGAGCCAGGGAAGCAGCAGCACAGCAGCTATGAAGACGAAGACAGCGGAAACAGTGCAAACTGTTACCACGCTAACTGCTTTACATACACCGTGTCCTTCAATAGAACCATGTAATGACGCTTGTTTTACAATGACACTCAGAAGTCATATATAATTTGCTAAAGGCCACACAACTACTAAATGGCAGAACCAGGTTTCTGTGTGTCCAACTTTTATTAAAAAAAAAAAAAAAGCTGACACCAAGCCAGTTCTGACTCAGCGACCCTGCAGGGCAGCTAGGACAGAGGAGAATGGCCCAATGGGGTTTGCAAGGTTGCCATCTTTACAGAAGCCAATTCTCTCGTCTTTCTCCCTAGGAGCGGGGGAGGGTTTGGGCCACCCACTTTTTCATTAGCAAGCAGGCCAGAGAACCATTATGCTACCAGGGCTCCTTTTCCAGACTCCACCTCCTTTCAATAACCAGCTTTTTTTTTCCAATCGTTTTATTAGGGGCTCATACAATTCTCATCACAATCCATACATACATCAATTGTGTAAAGCACATTTGTACATTCATTGCCCTCATCATTCTCAAAACATTTCCTCTCCACTTAAGCCCCCGGCATTAGGTCCTCGACCAGCTTATTTTTAAAGCTGGCTGTATCCCCTTCGAAGCCGTGGTGACAAAGTGGTTACAAGTTGAGCTGCGATCTACAGGCTGAAACCGACAGCCTCACTGCAAGACAAATGGGGCTTTCTATTCCTGTAGAGTTACAGGAAATACTGTAGAGTTACTCCTGTAGAGTCTTGGAAACACAGCCAGTTCTACCCTATCCCATTGAGTTGCTTTGAGTCGACATTGACTCGATGGCATTGAATTTGGTTTTTTTTGGTTTGGTATTCTCTTCTGAAAGCTGATTTTTATCCTGAGTTTGAAAAGACAACTTCCTAAGTTGCAGACAGCCTCACCTTAATCTCTTCATACTTGAGGACAGAGGGGTGATTCTCCAGATCCTGGTAGATGTGGGGGGTCAACAGCCGGGCAATTTCAGGGCGCATGCGGTGCTGCAATAGGATGCGAAGGTCATTAGAATCATGAGCAGAGAATAAAAAATGAACAGTCTTTCTATCACATAGGTTGCAAGCAAAGCACACAGAGAGGAAACATATGAAAAGAATGATAGGGGGAAAGGACACAGTCTTCAGCCAGCAACCAATACGCAACAGGCTAATCTTGTAATCTTTTAAAGCAGAGAACAAAGTAAATCTGACAGTCTTTTCATTACTAAAGCAGGTTTCCTTCTGAGGCCTCTCTTGTTGGCATTTGGAAGTAAAAGAGGTCTAGTTTCTCACCTGGTAATTTAGTCGGACAAAGGGAATGTTTACTTTCACCAGCCGTTCAAATAGGGACACCTCAAGGTTGAAGTTTTTGGCCAGGTCATACACGTTGGCGCTGGGGCGCAGCTGTGGAGAAAGACAGGGCTGAGGATTCACTACTGAACACCGATTGTAGCCAGGCAGACAGTGACCCATCACGGACCATGGTGCTGGTAGCACAGCATGATGGATGTAACAGGTATCCCTGAAGTGTACACCTCAAAGTACTGATAATGGCATTTTTGGGGGTTATACATATATTACCACAATAGAACCAATGCCAACAAAACCAAAAGAAGCCATGAGAGGAAGAACAGGGGCTGGAAACCTAGGGAGCAAAGGTCAGGATGGGGCAAGATGCAGTGAAAGGGGCAGGGTGGGACTGTACTGGCCTTTGCAGAGTGCTTAAAGCAGCTTGAGGTTCACTATTAAGTGCAATGGAAGACCAATGGAGAACCTTAAGCTGAGTGACAGGATCTGATCGACTTTTTTCCCCCCCGCTCTTAAGGAAATGAATCAGGGCAGTGGTTCTCAACCTTTGGGGTATAACGACTCTTTCACAGGGGTCACCTGATTCCTAACAGTAGGAAAATTACAGTTATGAAAACTGTATTAAAGGGTCGTGGCATTAGGAAGGTTCAGAACCACTGGATCAGAGGGTAGCAACAGTTAAAGTCAGGAGGCAGAAGATGGTGTTCTTGTCATCGTCCACTGAAGAGACATCGGTGGGCTAGGAAAGCAGTGGGGGTGGGGGTGGGGTATAGATGGATGGTGCTGACTTTACAATGTGCCCTACATTGGAGAGCAGCTGCTCTTGACTGTGGGAGGCGAGGGCAGAGAACTCACAGGCCAGTGACTAATGAGCTCAAGGATTGCTAAAGCAGAAAGGCCAGGTCTTCTGCTCTGGTCCCACCTGCTAGAGGCCAGCCCAGTTTCTGGAGGCTCCTGCTGTACCTGCTGGTGGTCCCCAATTAGAATGAGGTGCTGGCAAGCCTTGCTCAGCGTGGCAATGGTGTGGGCCTCCAGGACTTCAGCTGCCTCTTCCACGATGACGATGCGTGGCTCCACCTTCTGTAAGATCTGGCGGTATTTGGCAGCACCTTGAGTTAGGAAAAGAGCGAGGGGCTGAGTAGATGCACAAGACCCACCTGTCTCCTGGCCACTGATCCTGTTGGAATCCCCTTTGGTCTCCTCCCTACACCTCGGTTGGTAACAGCTTAGTCCTCATGCTTATTCATGGCTGTTGTGACCATCAACTGCATGAGCAATGGCCTGCAAACTATATACCCATCTTGGTCACTGCTTGGGTTCCACACTCAGATCCCAAGCAGGCTCACCAAAAGTTTCGTAAATACACATGGCTTTCCACAACCTTTCCTTGAACCTACTGTGGACACTTCTCACCCACCCCAGGTAAGGTGATAGGAGCTTGGCACCAAGGTGAATGGCAGGAGCTGGACCGTGCCCCCACTCTCACCTGTGGTGGTCATCCCAACGACCTGGGCATCTTTGAGAATGTGCAGGTCTTCCCGGAGCCTCAGCTCGGCCATCCTCTCAGCTGATGTGCGGTACTGGCGTTCGAAGTTGAGGATCTTGCGGCGGGTGTCAGCCTGGTACATCTGCAGCCACAGCCTGGAGAAGGGGAAGAACCAGGGAGAGGAAGCCACATGCTGAGAAGGTGGGAGAACACCTTGTGTATGTGCAGGAGCCTAGGACCCTTGGGAGCTTGTGGGGAGGGAGAGAGAGACAGAGACAGACAAGAGACCCAGATGTACAGGGACCCCAAGAGAGACAAGATACCCAGATGGTACAGGGACCCCAAGAGTCCAAAACACCCATCACAACAGATAGGCAGAGAGCAGCATTTCAGTGGTCAGAAGCACAAGGAGGGGATACAATGGATGTTAACTACTGGGAAGAGAGTAAGGGGCTTCAGAATGAGTCCCTCACCAATTCTGTCTTCACTCTCCACCACCCTCCATGTGCTCCTTTTACAGGCAGGTACAACTTGTTGTCCTCCTTCCAGGGGCTTCCTGCTGCTCCCCAGATAAAATCAACTCCCGAGCCCAGCCCTCAGAGACTGTGAGGCCCACCCAGCCCCTGCCTGACACTTGGTTTCTCTATCCTTGCCTCGGCCAGGCTGGCTGCCATCTTTCAGCTCCCTCTGAACCTGGGGGCCTTTAACTGTGTGCTTCCTTTAACTCATTGGCTCCCCACTTTCTGCTGGCCTGGTTCCTGCCCACTCAGCATTCAGAGTTTGACCCCAATATAATTTTCTGGGATGCCACCTCAGATTCCATGTCATGTTTGTAGCATTCCCTACCAGCTCTTTTTACTGCATGTTTATGTTATGCCCACTTGTAACGTTTACTTGTGGAATTCTCCAATTTGTCTACTCAGAGAGCCTCTCAGCTCCATGAGGGCAGAGCAAGTGTGTATTTCATCCCACGGCTGCCCAATAGACCTCAGCTCCATGGTGGTGGTCAGTCAGTAGTGATGGGGGCTGTGGGGAGCGGGCCTGGTACCTGTACAACTGCCAACGAGAGTTCAGGTCCAGCTGCCAGATGTCCTGGATTTCACTGGCCTCGGCTTCAGTCATGGTGTTCAGTTTGAGCAGTTCATTCTTCACCCGCTTCTTCATTTTCTTTTTCTGGCTGCGCTGGACCTGCAGGCAGCAACAGTCAGGCTTGCCATCTGAGCAGCAGTGGGCTCATTCAAAGCCCAAAGTGAAGCCAGAGCAAGAAAAGGGGCTGCCATCCTCGGTGGAGTCCTTTGTGTGTCCCCCAGCCCCCCAGCAAATGTCTCCATTGCAAGGTATACAAGAGTGAGACCCGAAGAGTCAGTCAGCATGGGTTCCAAGTACCCTGTCAAGGGGGCTTAAAAGTGTTGGTGGAAAAATGGAATGAAAATATAATGGAATTTTCCCACAAACTTTTTGAAGTCCCTCAGACCTCTTGTTAGTGTTGGGACTGAGAGCACGCTCCTTACACCTCCATATGCCTCCACCTCCCCTTATTCAAAGAGCCAAACTCAATGCTGTTGAGTGTTTCTGACTCATAGTGACCCTATAGGCCAGAGTAAAGCTGCCCCTGTGGGTTTCTGAGACTATAACTCTTCACAGGAATAGAGTTTCACCTTTCTCCTGGGAGTGGGCTAGTAGTTTCAAACTGCTGGCTTTGAGCTAGCAACCCAATGTGTGTAACCACTACTACACCACTAGGGTCTCCTGTGTATGGGAAATGCAAATTAAGAGCAACCTCTTAGTTGGGTTGCAGGTTGAGCTGCCGAATTAACATCCGGGAACCTTCAGAGTAGTGCTGACAGTAGTTACCACTGCACAGTTGTTTCTTATCCTAAAACCTTTGTGCTGACAGGAAAGTGGGGAAGCAGGGTCTTGGTGACCACTGTACTCCTAGGGCCAGCAGTTGGTGCCTAGCAAAGGCTGTGGCACAGGGCCCGCAACGGTCATCTTAGAGCACAGTGTCTCTAACATGGCCAAAAGGTACCCCCTAGGAGAATGTGCTCTCCCAGCTCTGTCACTGAAACTGAGAACAAGCGGGATTGGCATTTGTGATGTCGGTATGTATCATAGATCTTCCCATACCCTCAAAACCAAGCAAAACCCTGAGGTCACAGGGCAGAGATGCTCATATACATGATGGGGCCTCAAGGAGCTCATGGAAAACTGCCATTATTTTTCAATTCTATTTTTCCAGGAACTAGGATTGTGCCTGCCTCCATCACAAATAGTGATGTTGAACTGAACAAACAGATTAGATCCAGATGCTAGCACGCAGCTATCAGATCTGCAGCTAGTTCACGTTCCCTTGGTTCGAAAATGCTGTTTGGGGTATCTTGTCCTTCCGCTACGTAGCAATGCATGGTGAATTCAGAGGACAAGGGGCCAGGCCAAAGGAAAGAGCAGAGGGAAAGTCTACAAGCAGAGACGGGGCATTCCAGCCATCCTGTCTGTTCCCAGGCTCAATGAGGCTGGATTCCAGAAACCAAGAGGATCCGCTTCATCTGCTCTATTTTAAGGCTCTAAAATTTTAATGCATGTTCACAGGCAGCCCTGGGAGCACCAAGCACGGAGATCAAAGTGTTTATGCGACCCATATGTGCTGCTTTCTTCTAAAACTGCTAGAGAAGAATCTTTCTCAAAGACGGCATTTCTTGGTAGGCCCTATGGAGAGCCATCATTTTTATACCTTTGGGAACTCGACCCACTTGCACTAGGGGTGAGGCTGCCAAAAGGGAACATAAAACCTATATTGTGAGGATGAGATGACCAGACTTTAATAGAAGTTGAGGAAAACAAGAGGCTCAAGTCAAAGCAAAGCTTTCAGGGTGTCCCAGGACTGTCTACTTCCCTGCCTACTGTCCTTCCCTCAGACCCCCGCAGCAATAAATGCCCTCTAGTCTCCCTCTCCTGTAAAGTCTTCCGGGGGCATGGGGAGGTGAGCTTACCTTCCACTCTCCCGTGCCTTGGTCTTGCCCAGATATTCCCTGGCCATGGCCATCCAGTCTCATGGCCAGAAGCATTTTTGCCAACACCTGGTCTGCTCCATTCTCTTCCTTCTTCTGCCTCCGGGGCCTCACTACCTCTTCCTCCTCAATCACCCGGTCTGCTTGAATCAGGTCGGCCTCCTCTGCGATCTTGATCAGCGAGGCCTCCTCCTCTCCTTCCTCTTCATCCTCCTCCCCTTCTGCCTGGGCTATGGAGGAAAGCAGGACAGGGATAATGGCTCTTGAAACCAAAGCATGGTAGAGGGCATCAATGTGAGCTCAGATGTACAAAGACATTCCCAAGAAGCACACGCAGGGTGACCATGAGGGAGGGGTGAAAGTTAGGGGAGGAAGACCCTGGTTTCTACAGTTTTAAAATCATGTGTGCATAAATCTTTTTAAAAGCGGCTTCTCTTAATGTCAAGTACACATAAATAATAATAAAACATATAAAATTCATATCTAGGTACCTTCCACATAATTTAAGCAGCAGATAACTGCTAGTTTTTTTGAAAAGCCTTGTGATTTCTTTGAAACAGAATTCAGTATTGTTCATTTCCTTGTGTGGTGTTTTTTAAAGGAGAATACTTTTACAACATATATGCTGTATCTATATTTTGAACAATAGATTGTCTAATTTTGACTGCCTTCAAGCTTCATGTAAACAGGATCACATATGTAAACAGGACCACACTGTATAAACTTTTCTGTGACTTGTTTTTCTGTCAGCCTGATGTTTCATTAATGTTGTTTGCTCGACATGAATTTATTCATTTTCTGTTGTACAGCATTTCAGATCTGAACAGACCCTAACTGATTTAAGCCTTTACAAATACTGATGGACATTTGTCTCTTCTGATTTTCTGTGAACATAAAGTGGTCGTGCCGATTTACATCCTCATTAGCAGTGGATCCGAGTTCTCATTACCCATATTCTTACCAATACTGGATTATATTAAACTTCATAAAATGTTGGCCAATCTGGTGGGTGTAGTTCATTGTGGCTTCAATTTCCCTAATGAGCACTCTTTCTTATGTCTACTGGCCATCAGGACTTCCTCTTCTATGGTACGCCTGTTAAAACCTTTATCTGATTTTCCTACCAAGCTATTTATCTTTCTTTCTCTTATTAACGCACAGCTATTTAAGACATTCTAGGCATTGCTGCTAAGGTCTACTGTGATGGTTTTTCCCACATTGGACCTAACGGGGTGATTCTGTGTAGACATGAACTTCTCACCTGCATTCTCAGGCCCTCTTTCACTCTGGGTGAAACAACCAACGCCGAGACCCAGCCACTCCAGCATCATGGACTGCTTCCGCCCCTGGAAGCAGACCCACTCGGCATCCTGAGGAAGGAAGAAATACCAGTCATGAGAATTCTCTGGCAATCAGTGTGTAGGCAGTATCAACTCTATGGCTCAAAATAATCCTTTAAAAGTTCTGCAATTGTAAGCTGCCTTTCCCTTGAGCAATGGGAACATTTACTATGGCTGGTACGGAATTTTAAAAATTGTGGTATTGCTTTTAAAAAAAGTCAAGATGGCCCGCCTTGCTTGATAAAACAAGGAGCCCTTGTGACGTGATGGGTTAAACACTGGGCTGCTAACTGCAAGGTTCAAAACCACTAGCCATTCCAAGGGAGAAGGATGAAGTTTTCTATTCCCTTAATGATTTAGTCTAGAAAACCCACAGGGACGTTCTACTCTGCCCTATGAGGTTGCTATGACACAGAATCGACTCCGTGCCAGTGAGTTTGGCTTTTGGTTTTGGGTGACAAAAATCAGGGGCCGTGGTAACAATGAACCTGTATTCCTGAACGGCAACAAGTTGTGGGAACCTGACTGCCGCCTCCCCTTTGTCAGCTTATCCCAGTCCTCCCTAATTTGTACTGTTTCACATTAGCCTGGGTCACTCACACCCATGATCTGATTCACCCCTTCCAGCCCATGAAATCAAGCATCCATTTCATGGGGTCAGTCGCTTAACAGAGGCCAACCATCTCAATTACATCTTGTAGTATCTCTGTCTTTCTTGGAATAGATCTTGTTGAAATATAATGGCTCCTTTTAAAGTAGCATATTAGCTTCCTGGGAAATTACATTATAAGAAACCCCTATCTAACACTTGTTATAATTATCTTTTGACAGCAGGAACACACATCAATCCTATCAGTCCACATGACCTAGATCTGTGCTAGCTTACCTCTTATTATAATTTTGTATATTATGTTAACAGCTTTGCAAAGATTAACTTGTTTATTCTAGTAACAATCCTATTAGACACAAAATAAGTTGATAATAAGAAATTGGAGGGGGGAAAAAAGGAAAATGAGCTGATTCCGGGAACCCAAGAGGCAAGCGAATTTTGGGAATAATGAGGGCAACAAATGTATAGATGTGTTTTATACAATTGATCTATGTATTGTGATGAATTGTATGAGCCCCAATAAATTG